TAAAATGCCCATAAATTGATAAATATTTGTCGGAATAAGCTCAAACTTTCTACACAGCATAAGTGCATCAATATGCATCAGAAAATGTAATAAAAATTTGGGGTGATTTCTGAGCCATTTTTTGGAAAAAAGCATGGGCTATAGTACAGGGTATTTTTCAGAAAATGGCCAATTTCTAAAAATGGCTGTAAATTGAAAAATGTTTGTCAGAATCAGCTCAAACTTTCTGCATAGCATAAGTACGCCAGTATGTATCAGAAAATGTAATAAAGATTTGGGGTGATTTCTGAGCAATTTTTTGGAAAAACAAGTGCTAAAATTTGGCGAATGGACCTCAATTTGCCAAATCTGCCTAAGTTTTACTCCATCAAATTTCTAGCTATACGGTATTTTTCCAGAAATTTACTCCTTTTAAAAATGGCTGTAACTCAAGAAATTTTTGTTGGATAGAGCTTAATGTTAGACATTGTGCATCATTATTATCAATAATGTATCATTAATCAATTTTGATTAATAATTATTATAGGTTGTGACCCTGAACTATAATTTCGAGGATCTCTCATTCATATACTGAAGATCTATATATAGACATGCTTCAGTTGTTGCAGTGATGGTAATATTGCTATGTGGGATCTTTGTAATCGTGAGATGACAAGACTATTAAGAGGTCACACTGATGGGGCTAGTTGTGTTGATATTGCACCTGATGGTAATAAACTATGGACTGGTAGTCTTGATGCTACTGTAAGATGTTGGGATCTAAGAGAAGGAAGACAACTACAACAGCAAGACTTTAATAGTCAGATATTCTCATTAGGATACTGTCCTACTTCTGATTGGCTAGCAGTAGGGTAAGATAAAAGTATTTTTAAGTTATTATATTGCTTACGTTATTTCCATTGCATGAAACAAACATAAAGTAGCTACTTGTTACAGGCTCCATATATTGTCATCAATGAAAACTAAACCCACAAATTAGTGTATGAGGATCAAATGCTGAAAGCTTTAGAACTACAAAATTAATCCACTATATCACTGTATGCTTGTATACTTTATATACCAATAGTCTTATTAATTATTAGCAGTATTAGATAAACCAATGGTTTAATGTGTGTGTGTGTTTATGTATTATTAGTATGGAGAGCAGTAGTGTTGAAGTCCTTCGTGTGAGTGGTCCAGATAAGTATCAGCTACATTTACACGAGTCTTGTGTACTGTCACTCAAGTTTGCTCACAGTGGTAAATGGTTTATAACTACAGGAAAGGATAATCTACTAAATGCATGGAGAACACCTTATGGTGCTAGTATATTCCAGGTACATAGTCCATTATTATTAACATTAACTGTACAGTGGTATTTGTACTTGTTACTATTATTATGTGTGTGTGTAGTCTTATTTATAATTATACATTAATGTACAATGAAATAATGATTGTATCCTATACATACAGATGTCTGAAAGCAGTAGTGTTTTAAGCTGTGACATATCAGTTGACGATCGTTTTATTGTTACTAGATCTGGAGACAAGAAGGCTACAGTGTATGAAGTTATACTATGAGGTATAGTTTGATGAGTTTACTATAGTATAAAAAGTAATTGTCATTATTTTATTTATTATTGTCTCCAGTAGGTGATATTTGACTTTTAATGCATGATGCAATCTACACTTGAGTTTAGTCTCTTTGTTACAAGTACTGACTACAAAACTCTCATGTAATATAAATTTTTTAATAATTCCAGTTAAGATATTGTTTGTCATGTTTGCTATAATGCATTAACATTAATAATAATAATAATTAAACTTGAGTTCTT